CTTATTAAAGATTCAAATTATTTTAACGTCATGTTACGGACATAAAATTTAATGCAACTATTTAGTAATTAAATAGTTGCATTAAATAAATTTATATATATAACTCGAAAATAGTAATATTAATAATAAAATAGAATAAAAATATATTGTTGTATATAATAAAAGTTGTACACATACTACTAATGCTTTATATATAATCAATTTTATAATTATTTATTCAATAATTATTTTTGTCACATTTACTTGTTATTAATATATTATGTAGTACATACATATATATCTAGAAAAGTATACTTTACTGTGACGATTAATTTATAGGATATTCAGTAACAAGTGGGAGAAAAGTAAGCGATGCTTCTTCATGACAATATATGATGAAAATCAAAAGTAAAAAATTGCGTTTCCAGCGTTGTTTTGAAGTTATTACAATTAACGTTGACCAATAGCGACGCGTGAATCATTTTTGTATCTCTGTCTTTTACACAACGCATCATTGTTCACACTTCTCTTGAGCCAATTTGCGCACGCTACAATTGGCGAATTGGGAGATCTTGAATTGTTAATAACTGAAAAAGGAAGCTGACATTATATTTTTGTTCTTGATTTTCATCTTATATTGCCCTGACGAATTACCACTTTAATTTTTTCCTAACTGTTGCTGAATATCCTGCACGTACAAAAATATAGACAATATTAATGTATATGTGTGAATACAATATATCTTTCTCAAACAATTATTACTTTTACACATATAAATATTTATATGATTATATACATTTAATAATTTTTTGTTTATTTAGAAACAAGAAAATTTTATGTAATGAATTTTAGTAACAAAAATTTTTTAAACTATAAATAAAATAATATTTTCTGTTTACTTTAATTGTATGAAAAATGTTAATTATAGCTGCTTTCTGTAATATTATGTATTCTGTTAAATCGTTATATGTAGTACTATAGTAAATGCAATTATTATGTATGTATTAAATACATACATTAGTTGTTACGATATTAATTCCTATATTGTATATACAATAAGAATTATGTATATTCAATACCTGTCCATTTTATGAAATATT